AGTCAGCAATAGATCCATTATAACCTCTCCTCTTTGGTTGATGTTACTGCTCCCCCAAATAGTGTGGTGTGCATTAGCATCCATACCTAGGATTAGTTCTAATTTTTCATTTTTGCAATAATTAAAGAGCATAGTTAGGTCCCTACCTGGGTCTGTGAGCTCATATGGTAAGTATCCTGAAGCTACTATAATGTTTTTACCATCATTTAGTGTTACTCTAATAATAGTCAAGTCTGCACTTGATAGATTAAGTATCAGGCTAGCTTTAACTTTATTATTAACCAAAATGCAAGTTCTTGGTTTATCTGCTTGTTTATGAAACAGTTTAAAATTCCTTAGATTTAGCCCCTTAATCTGGTCCCCATTTATCCATGGTTCCTGAATAAGTGCTATTTGTAAGGGTGTTGTATGCCTCTCAGTTAGGGTCCTTAGTAACACGCTACTGGCCCCCTTACTGTGATGCAGGTTTATCTGAGTGAATTGAATTCTATTGTCCGAGGGTCTAAGTTTTAGATCCTCGATTTTGTCAGCTACTGCTCCCAGTTGATCTTGCGACTCCTGGTCTGCATTAGTTGACGTTGCTGTCTTTTTGCTAGTAGATGGTTCACCAAGAGTCCCGTTGTTGGCATTGAGACCTTCAAGTACAGCGATTCTTTTGCGAAGAATTGCTAGTTCACGCTCTTGTTCCGACAGGTTGTCCGTAGGATCCCTGATCGTCACAAGTTCGTTGTTTTGTGGTTTTTCTATGTTTTTATCCATATAGTTCCCACGAGAAGTCGAGAAATAAAGGTCTGTATCGTAAATAAAAAAACTTTTGCATGTTATTGAGATTGTTATTCTCGTTGATCGCTGTGGAAAACATATCATAATACGATTGCCACTCAGAATAATCTCCTGAAAATTTAGGTAGATCGATTAGTGGCAATTTGATTATAGAAGAACCGAATTGGCTATTTATATTATTGGGTTTAGTTGGAATAGATTGAATATTTTGAACGAAACTATCATTAATGCTGATATTATCAGATGAACATAGTTTCTTTATAAGTTTATCGCATTCGGCTAAGACTCCAAAATAAATATTCTCCATCTCCTCTCTATACCTTTCCGTTTCTTCCGTAATTCCCGTAAGTTCTTCTATTTCTGCTTGTACCGATTCATAATCTTGCCACACCTCCAATATTTTATCTCGTCGTAGTATGATTTGACTGGTGTCAATATTTACTTCTCCACTCTTTCTCTCAACAAATAATACAAATCGTGATAGTTGGCCTTTGAACTGACCACGACGAATGCTTAGCTGGACTTGCTCTGCCATAACGTTGATATCTATTCAGATAGTCAATTGTATTACGCGATTACAATAGCGCTCTATTGCATTAAATTCCGAGTGTACTATATAGGGTTTGGAATAAAACCAATGATGTTCCTATTATAACACACGTTACTCGAGTTATGGGCGTTTTTACCGTATCACCAAAAATAGAACGAGATGAGAAATAGAACTAGCGAGTCTATTCATTTACGAATCTCGAACTAATTGCGAATGGCGAACTATACGATAAATAAAGTAATACAAAAAAAACGAAACGCATTTAAGACGGTACACTTACGCACTTAATTAAAAAACGTACGACAACGAGCACGGCGATGACAAAACTTACAAAATCAAATTATATTAATTTATCCATGCGGCACGATGGACCAAATGTTGCGTCTGTTCAATCTGTATAATAAATAAATTGATAATTACGAATGTTTATTAATTGTGGACTGTATCTTTTATTATTATTTTATTGTAAGCTGGCGATTTGTCCGCGCGCGTACGTATATCGAGCATAACTGGTCTTATATTGGTCGGCGACTATCATTATTATTGGTATCGCTTAATCGCGTGATAACGAGCGCGAACATGCATATTTGAACTGCTTCAATATCAAAATATGGGTAAATTTTAATTTTTTGATTTATTTTATTAAATAATAAAAATAGATTACTTATGACTAGTATTATTTAAAATTTAAATATATTTAAATTAACGTTTTTAATTTTAAATATTTTGTCAAGCATTTGTTTCCTAACAAATACCAAACATTAATTTTTAACTTAAAATATTTTTATAGTAAAATGATTACATATTTATTTAGACTTTATAAAAAGATGTATATGTAGAAAAGAGTTATAAGAAGTAACCGTGCACCCTTGTAATAGTTGGAGTTAATTGTGCTGAGAAAAGTAGGGAAAAAGCATTTGTTGCACCCAAATGCCCAGAATGTGACGAATACATAAAATATTTTGATATAGATGGTACGTTATCGATTAGTTTTACTATCTAAACTTCTATTTGTGGGAATTAAAATAATATATCCATAATGATCAAAAAAATAAAATATCTACCACCCATTCAAATATTATACAAATATTCAATAAGTATGGAAAATTATTTCTATTTTTCCAATTATTCGTAACAATTTACATGATTATTTATATGACTTATATTGTCTATTATTATTAATGACTTTATATTGACTATTTAATAATCCTATTAACGTTCGACATCTCATTTGAGTAACAATGCAAATATTTTTTAATGCATTAATTGTTTATTAATATAATTTGGACCGAAATATAACAAAATATGACCAGGCATATTTATATAATATATATAAATTTCATTTAATAGTTGACATTTATAATATTCATTATTTAAAAGAGTACTTTATTTTTGATCATCTAAATACCTCTTTCTTTTGTTTATTTCTAAGAATTTATAATATTCTTTGATGACAATAATAAATCAATTCTTTGTTACAGAGTATATTTTCTTTCAAAATTAAAATTTTTATAATTCATTTAGCAGGCTCAAATAATGACAACGAGTTAACATGAAAATTTTGATTGGCCAGTTTTAATTTTATTTTATTTACTTTCATAAAATTCATTTATTGAACAAATAAAATGTATTTGTTCATTATTTAATAATGCCAAAGTTGATTTGTCATTTTTTTGAAATAAATGTATACAATATATATTGACCGAAATAACATCGTTCGCATCTTTCTATGAATATTTAAATTTTACCAAAAAATACAGATAATAAAATGGACAGCACCAATAACTAATAACACTAGAGTGGGGTGCAAGGTCGCTTTATAAATTGTGCCTCTCATAGTAATCAAGTCAACCGCCTTAATTGCCTTTTAATTTTGCACATCAAAAACAATTATATACAAAGCGATCTGAGCACATGGCAATGCGTCAGACAAAGTTCGAGCAATGTTGATGTATCTTTACACAAAAAATTCTCCCAGTTTTTCTAATTATGCTAAAAAAATAATTTTTGGTATTTTTTAGTTTCTTATATATTTTGATTTATCAATCATGATGGACGTTTATGTTTATCTCTTATACCTTACAATAATAATGTTAATAATAATAAAAAAAATAATAATAATAATAATATGATATATTTATTTATTTTTACTAAAAACACATAATAATGTCAATTATATTTTTTCAAACGGCATCATACATAATTAATTAGCTTAACTATTGGATTAATTCATAAATAACTGACCAAAAACAACTTTTGAACCAGTACTTCTGAAGTTATTAATATTTTTATATCTAGGAGAGATGATTGATATGGCAAATAAATGTCTAATGACAACTATTATCACAGCCGTACCTTTATATATTAAAATGGCAGTAACTTTAAAAATAATGGTCCAAAATATTGGTACCAGTAATTTTCTTAATTAGTACAGTTTTTTATTTTATATGATACTTAAATATGTAAGTTGCCAATTAAAAAAATAAAAAGCTTACGCCTTTATCTTTAAAATTTATTCCTTAAAGGACGAATTAAATAAATAATTAATAACTGATAAATCAAGAAATATATAAAACTAAGAAATACCAAAAATAATTTGTTTACCATGATTATTATTTAAAAAAATATTGAATGTCTAATGTTAAAAAAATTACGCTGTATGTATAAATATAAAAAATTCATTTAAAAATCTTATTCCTTTTTATAGATGAAAATGTGAGGAAAAAGCTCAATCCGGAGAGATTTATTCATTTTAAGTCCCGTTTAAAGACATACATTCGTTTTTCTCATTCAACAACAGGAAATCTACCTGCACAATATTGTATCTTTCAGAATTTTATTAAAAAATTAAAATATATAATACTAAATGATTAATTTAAAGCAAAAATTAATATTATAATTAATTACATTTATTACTGTTATGTGACTGGTACAAATTTAATTATATTTTTTATTTCTAATTCTTTCTCCATAATTGGTATATAGTGCGTCACAATGTTTTTTAATAATAATAAAAAAATAAAACTACCTATTGGATTTTATTTGAAAAAAGTTTAGTAACCTTATTTAAATTCTTACATCCTCACTTTATCTCAAGATGTTGGGTTAGAAAAAATTTCCATTTAAGCATTTTTGAGTTTAGCAAACCTAATAATCTAAGAAATTTAAAACCAATATATACAAGTTTCTAAAAATGTTTAAAAGAAACTGGAATAACAATGTATGAATATATATATAATAACATCAGAAAAAGTTATGTCAATTTGAAGAATAAAAATTTAAAAAATATTGAAAATTAGCGATTTTTAAATTTGTATTTTTTTTTTGGAGATTTCCCCCATTTACGTGGAACAAGTGAAATATTTTCAATTTTTGAGGGTAATGTCTCCGATAAGATATGATATGTAATCTTTTGACATATCGTTGAAAGAAATTGGTTCGGTGAGAGCTGAGAACAAGAGGTAACAGACACAAAAAACATCATAGTAAAATAATACCTTCTCAGCTTCACATCGAAGCTAAATTGAATGATCAATTAGTTGTTCATATATTTTAAGAATAGTGTGTAATATATGGATAGTAATACAATTTAAAATTTTAATTTTTAACTAAAATTTTTTTTTTGTAAATTTTAATCAATTTATGTTTTAAATAACAACCTAATTAATTGTAATAATATTTGTTATAATAAATTTAATAATAAACTATAATAAATATGATACATATTATAAATTAAACATCATTATAGAAAAATATTTTCTCTGAATATTATAAATTTAACATCAATTTATTTATAGCAATTTAAACATTTATAAATAAATGGAACAAAAAGTTTTAATGAAGTTTTACTATATTTTTATAATCTATGAGCTCCTTCAAGTATTTATTAGTATTTATGTATCATTCTCTTTAGTCGGATATAACAAGTCATATTTTTCCATATTAACCATAAAGTTTTCAAGCATCTCTGAAACGAAATAAAATTATAAATTTATTATCATTTCACAAATAGTTGATATTCCCCTCAAAAAATATATAAGTTACCCGGATAAGTCAGCGAACATAAGTTTTAAATATTCCCATGAGAATTCTTTAAAAGTTCAAACAATATTTTTGGATTGTAACATATAAGTATTAAGTACCACATAAAACAAATATATTATTAAAAAACCCAGCACAGTGGGGTCGCGGCATAGTGGGGACGTTGCATAGTTGGGTCCAGTATAGATTTAATCTGACAGTGATTAAAATCACTATCATAAGAAACGCTTCGATGCAAATCTGTAGATAGTGTTTAATTCTAATAAATTGGTGGATAATTACAAAAGCTACATTATCTGCTAGTTTCTTATTAATACCCTGATTAAGATAAAGTATGTCGAATGAAAAAGGGATTATTAAAAAATATTATTTCTCATAAAGAAATTGTGTTGATTCATACACTTTTTAATGAGTTATAACATTATAAAGTTAAAAATGTAACCAACCCAACCCAACATCAACTCCTATTTCCTTAATTATATCCAGATTAGTAATTCTTTTAATTATATAATATATAATTTTTATAATTAATTATTTTCAAATTATTATCGATTTTTAATATGTTAAAAGTAATCATTTTGAACCTACTTCTTTTTGTCCTTTAATAAAAGTTTTAATAGAAAGTTTTAATAAAAATAAAATAAATTTATTACCATAACTTTTAATTCAACTTGCAAGTTTGAAATAGATATTATTAAATAGAAAAAAATGAAATTGGTAGATTATTTCAAAAACAACAATAACACTTATTCCCTTAATTTTACCCCGATTTATAACTATAATATATGAATACATAATAATTACAGTAATTAAATTGAGTATGAAAGTGGTATTCAATAATATAATATTGTAATTTTTACGGAGATATTATAAAAATAAAAAGGAGTTGTATATTCATATACTTTTAATGCGTATACAAATTTAAAGGAATTTATGCAATACTTTTTAATAAAAAAATTTTGTTACTTATGAATAAATACACTAAACAAAAGGAACTTTTATCAGAAAAAAAATATACTTTTCTAAATAAACTTTTCGTGATGTTTTCAAATGTGCAATTAAACTTTTTCTATTACTTCTAAGTTTTAATATTATTACTTATTATTAAAAAATAAGTATTTACATATAAAAAAAAATAATTAAGAACAAAAAAAATTGTATTAAATTAATACTGATTTTGATTTTTAATATGTTAAAGGTAATCATTTTGAACCTACTTTTTATTGTCTTTTAAAGTGAAAGTTTTAATGAAAAATACATTCTCAGTTTCGCATCGAAGCTAAAAAATGAATTTGCTACCATAACTTATAGTTCAACTTGCAAGTATGAAATTAACATTATTAAATAGAAAAAAATGAAATTTTTAAGATTAATATGCAATCTGGAAATTTTATAATTACTAAATTTTACCCCGATTTATAACTATAATATATGAATACATAATAATTACAGTAATTAAATTGAGTATGAAAGTGGTATTCAATAATATAATATTGTAATTTTTACGGAGATATTATAAAAATAAAAAGGAGTTGTATATTCATATACTTTTAATGCGTATACAAATTTAAAGGAATTTATGCAATACTTTTTAATAAAAAAATTTTGTTACTTATGAATAAATACACTAAACAAAAGGAACTTTCATCAGAAAAAAAATATACTTTTCTAAATAAACTTTTCGTGATGTTTTCAAATGTGCAATTAAACTTTTTCTATTACTTCTAAGTTTTAATATTATTACTTATTATTAAAAAATAAGTATTTACATATAAAAAAAAATAATTAAGAACAAAAAAAATTGTATTAAATTAATACTGATTTTGATTTTTAATATGTTAAAGGTAATCATTTTGAACCTATTTTTTATTGTCTTTTAAAGTGAAAGTTTTAATGAAAAATACCTTCTCAGCTTCGCATCGAAGCTAAAAAATGAATTTGTTACCATAACTTATAGTTCAACTTGCAAGTTTGAAATTGACATTATTAAATTGAAAAAAATGAAATTTTTAAGATTAATATGCAATCTGGAAATTTTATAATTACTATTTACAGTACATTTATCAGAAAAATTCGATTTTTTTGCATTTTTATCGTAATAGATAACTGAAATAGGAAGAATAGTAATCATATCCTAATAACTTTTGGTGTTTAAAAAAATTCTGCAATTGAAATATTCAGAACTTAATTAATTTTAATAATTTACTTTAATTAAATGAACCAATCAAACCAAAGTAGTTAAAAATATTTACTCAATTGAGCGTATTATCAAAAATATAATTACAATTGTAAAAATCCATCGTTAAATTCAGGTGAAACTAAAAATCATTTTTTTTTTAAATTTATGATTTATATAGCAACATATTACTAAAAAATTTGGCATATTATAGACTGGTAGTAGTACACACAAATAGAGTTAAAAAATTAATAAATTATAAAGTAAAATTATTGACTTTTGTAGTTGAATACTTTTATCATATCAAATTTAATTCGACAATAAATAATTTAAGAATATTAAAAATTAATGATTTTAATTGTTTGTATGGACAAATCTAGTTAAGCTACTTTTTATTTGAATAAGGAATATTTTTTTGATTTTTAAGAGTAATAACTTAAACTAATCATTAACTTAAATATCATAAACTTAAATGAATCATTTGACGTATCGTTGAAAAAAGTAGGTCTAGTGAGGGTTGGCAAAATAAATCGTAGCCACAAAAAGAACCACATAGTAAAATAATATTAACATGAATATAAATTTCTTCTCACGAGGGGAAACTATAGTGATAGGATCCTTTATATTTATTGAAGTTATTAAATCTAAATGAGATAAATATCAAATGATTTGAAAATTTTATTCAAACTCAAAAAAAAATGCAAAATATTAATTGCCACAGACGGATTTGAACCTCGTACCCTAAGCGTGAAAGATCAAGATGTTACCCATTCGGCAACTGTTCGTTGCTTTTGATGCTCGATAAAATTGGCTATTTAAGCTAACTCAAATTTAAAAATTACTTTTTCGACTTTAAAAAAGTAAAAAAATTTTAATAAGTATAATTTCGTATGTCTTATGAACTTTATTCTATGTCAATTAAATTATATAATATTCTTGAAAGTCAGTGTATTCCCCTAATAAGATATTTTAAAATAAAATAAAATACAAAATTTAAAAAAAAAATTGCATATTTTTGAATACGGTAGCCATTTACGCACAAAAGATAGGTCGTCGGGACAAATTTTTTTTTTTTATTTGATTGTATATAACATAACCTTTGATTTGATATATGTTTAAAGGACGCAGTATTTCCGGAACATTTTCAAAAATTAAGTTGAAAAAGTTATTTTTTGTAAAAAAGTTACTATTTTAAATCCCCCCAGTGAGCAGAATAAGTGTTAGATTTTCAAAAAAAATTATATCAAATGAAAGGGAAATATCTAAGGTTTCAATACAAAAAAATATTATTTTTATTTGTTCATTTTTGAAAAAGTTATGGCAGTTTTAAGTACAAAAAACATCCCGATAAAAGGTAATTTTTATCGCAAACATTACATTTTTTTTTAAATTTTCGACAGCCATTTGCACATAGAAGATAAGATGTCGGGACAAATTTTTTTTTTTCATTTGATAGTATATAACATAACCTTTGATTTGATATATGTTTAAAGGACGCAGTATTTCCGGAACATTTTCAAAAGTTCAGTTGAAAAAGATCTATGTTTTTTACAATATTTTAAGTTTTGAACGCCCCCTATATAAGGGGAAATTGTCCAATTTTAATAAAAAGTATGTCAAATGAAAGATGTACTTATAATGTATTTAGAAAAAAAAAATTTGTGCTGATATATACATTTTTCAAAAAGTTATAGCATTTTTAAGTTGAAAATTTAAAATCGAAAATCGAAAATTTTAACACAAAAATAGTGTTTTTTTAACTACGGCAGCCGTTTAAATGTAGAAAAAAAAGTGTCGGGACAAATTTTTTTTTTTCATTTTATAGCATATAAAATAAGTTTTAATTTGATATATGTTTAAAGGACGCAGTCTTTCCGGAACATTTTCAAAAATTAAGTTGAAAAAATTAGTTTTTGTAAAAAAGTTGCTATTTTAAATCCCCCCTGTGAGCAGAATAAGTGTTAGATTTTCAAAAAAAAATGATATCAAATGAAAGGAAATTACCTAAGGTTTCAATATAAAGAAATATTATTTTGATTAGTTAATATTTGAAAAAGTTATGGGAGTTTTAAGTACAAAAAATTTTAAATTAAAAGGTGATTTTTATCGCAAATATTACATTTTTTTTATAATTTCGACTGCCATTTGCACATAGAAGATAAGGTGTCGGGACAAATTTTTTTTTTTCATTTTATAGTACATAAAATAAGCTTTAATTTGATATATGTTTAAAGGACGCAGTATTTCCGGAACATTTTCAAAAATTAAGTTGAAAAAATTAATTTTTGTAAAAAAGTTGCCATTTTAAATCCCCCCCAATGAGCAGGTTAAGTGATAGATTTTCAAAAAAATGATATCAAATGAAAGGTAAATATCTAAGGTTTTAGTATAAAAAAAAATTATGTTGATTTGTTGATTTTTCAAAAAGTTATGGAAGTTTTAAGAAAAAAAAGTGAAAAAATTTCGAAAATTAGCGATTTTTAAATTTGTAATTTTTTTGGATATTTCCCCCATTTGCGGGGAACGAGGGAATTTTTTTCAATTTTTAAGGGTAATGTCTTCAACTAGATACGATTTGTGATCTTTTGACGTATTTTTGAAAGAAATCGGTCCAGTGAGAGCTGAGAAAAAGTGGCAACAGACATAAAAAAAAAAAAAAAAATAAACACATCATGGTAAAATTAATACCTTCTTAGCTTCGCATCGAAACTAATACACTTTTGTTTAAAAAATGCCAAATTCGTCAAGATTCCCTGACCCGAGGGTTATATTGAAAATTTGAGGAGAAAATTCCTTTAAAAATACATGCTAATTAACCTATGCTACAATAAAGAATAATAGCTTTACAAAACAATAGTTTGAACTGTAACTAACCAGTAATTAATTTATCTAACACAAAAATGTTAGTAATAATTGTTAATATGCAACAATTATAAAATATTTGTTAAAAGTGTGTAATTAAGATTGATTTTAAATCAAAAAATAATAATTGTCCGTAATTTTTATTCATGAATATGATATTTATCATTACTCATTTATAAGTAAATTATGAATCATGAACTTACTCTTGGTCCGCCTACTTACCCGTATCATACCTACAGTCTTAAGCAAGCTAATATAATTAATCCAAGGTTAGTTATATCCCTAATAACACTTTTTTAAAAATGTTTTAATCACATTTTTTAAATTTTTTATCTATTTAATTGTTTTAATTGAAGCCTATGTTACGTATCATAGACTTCAAATTATGTAATCAGAGTCAACTTACGAATTTCAATTATGATCAATAAAAAAATTTGAAAATTTCTTATACAGGGTGATTTTTTTATCATAACCCACTCAATTACTTGCAGAATAATAATAATTTAAACATTTTTTTTTTTATTATCTTTAGTTACACATTATTCTTGAATTTTTAACTATGTAATAATTTTTAAGTTCATCCCTTATGCCTTGGAGGGGGGTCAACTTTGTTTTTTTAAATGGTAACACATATTTTTAATTTAATAAAATGTTTGAGTTTTTAATTTAATAGTAAATGGCATTTGAATTTTTAATATAACTTTATTAGCTTATTAGATATAAACATTTAAAGTTTCAAAATTTTGAGTTAATATACAGGTATAATACACATGGGATTGTAAATACAGGTAGCTAATTGTATTTTTAAGACATTGCTGTCTCAGTCACGGATTGTTTATTATGAATTATGATTATCAGTAGATATATTTTCTGTATTGTCAGTTAGTGTATTTATATACTCATAACATTGTGTCTTACTACAATTGATAATAACAATGCTGTGTACCTGCTAATATCGATGTTATAAAAAACCAATTAGCTACCTGTATTTGTAATCCCTTGTGTATTATACCTGTATATTAATTCAAAAATTTGAAACTTTAAATGATTATATCTAATAAACGAATTAAGTTATATTAAAAATTCAAATGCCATTTACTATTAAATTAAAAACTCAAACATTTTATTAAATTAAAAATATGTGTTACCATTTAAAGAAACATNAACATTTTATTAAATTAAAAATATGTGTTACCATTTAAAAAAACAAAGTTGACCCCCTTCCAAGGCATAAGGGATGAACTTAAAAAGTATTACATAGTTAAAAATTCAAGAATAATGTGTAACTAAAGATAATAATAAAAAAAATGTTTAAATTGTTATTATTCTGCAAGTAATTGAGTGGGTTATGATAAAAAAATCACCCTGTATATTGAATCAAATTGTATAAAAATTCAAACATTTATTAAGTTACTTCTTGTACTTTATTTTTAATATAATGTATAAATGACTATTAAATTAATAAAAACCCTGAATTAATTATAAACTAAATAATTAAACTTTAATTATAAATTATTGATTTTCAATAAATATTATTAAGAAAATTGTTTAAAATAATAATAAAAGAGTATAGATAAAAAACTTCAATACAACCAGTTTAATTGCAAAATATGTTTTAAATATTTTTATGATTTTTAAAAAAATGTATGATAATTACGATGGTAATTGACATGATGTTTGTCCTTTAAATTTTGGGTGATTATAAAGTCATAGATATTATCAAAATCAGGTACATGTTGTATGATTTTACATTCCAAAAGACTTTTTTTTGCATAATCTATTGTGACGGTGCCATCTTTCTTTGTATCACCTTCATATAATTTTTGTCTTAAATTGTCCACATTATTTTTCTTCCAAATATAAAATTTAAAAGCATAATCTTCTATTGCTTTCTTTTCATCACCTATGAAAATACAAAAAAAAAATTTATTTATATAGAATAATAATCTAAATCGCAGAATAAAAGTAGACCATAAAGAAAAACTATTTTCACACCCATAAAATCTAAAATATTATAAAAATTTATTTGAAAGTTCTTTTACAAAATTAGTAGAAACTGCATTGTCGTATTAAGAAAACTAACCAATCCCGGTTCGGAGTTCTCAGACTTTATCCCCCCATCGTTGCCAAGGCCTTCCCCTGGGGCGCTTGCCAGTTGGATTATTAATCAGTATTTTTCGGATTATACTTCACGTGGCTCGCCACACATGACTCACCCTTTCCAGATGCCTGGCTATTAGGAAGCATTTAATATTTGATTTATTACATAGCGATTCTAAGTTGATATTTTTTCTCCTTTCATAATTTCCAGTTAATTCGTTTCATATAATTATTTTACTATGTGGTTATATTTTTGTGTCTGTCATTCAAATTTCTCAGCTCTTACTTGACTAATTTTTTTCAAGGATATGTCAAATTATCATATTTTATATCTAGTTTAAATAGTCCCCTCAAAAACTTACCGACCAAATATTCAAAAAACCCTTAATTTTAAAGATTTAGACAAATATATCAAAATAATGCTACTGTTTAAAACGGTATTTTCAATAAAACTTTTCTACATTTTAAAACTGCTATAACTTCTTTTTGAAAACAATTATTTTATTAGAATTGGAATAGAGTATAATTGACGAAAATATTATTTCGTCGGTATGCTTTTATGACAATCCAATGAAAAATCTAAGTGCAAGGAAGGGTTTAGAAAATACCACATACAAATGTTAAATTTATTTTTGTCATCACCATTTTTGGATATGTTTTGCTACGAATGCGTTCATCAAACTTACATCAAATTTAATTTTTTTTAAATGTACTACAAGATAAAAAAAATTGTGCCGACGATTGTTCTACTATAAGAAGTTGACAACCAAAGCAAAAAAAAAACACAATTTAAAAAAAAAAAATAATAATTTATTCAAGGTATGCATTTTTAAAATTATGTATCTTCAAAAATAATAGGAGTATAGAATTTATTTTTATGCTGAAATACGCAAAATAATTATATAATTGAAGTTAAAAAAAATTTAAGCATCATAGATCAAAATATACATTGCTACATCAAATGTTTTCGCTGATTTAAAATCTGCAATTAAATTTTTTGTATTTTATAATTTTTTGAGATAGTATTTAATTAGCAAAAATGAAGATTTACATTAAAAAAATGAATTTTAAGTTGATATTTATGAACGTTTAAAATTTAAAAAATTTTTTAGCTCAACTGCAAGTTTGAAATTGATATCATTTAATTGGAAATATTGTGAGGATACAAAAAATAGTGTTGTTTAGATTGATACGTGGTTAGGAATTAATATAATTATTATTAACAGTAAATTTATGAGAAAAGCTCAAAATTTCGTTAAAGTAATATTTTTTTTTGTGTTATGATCGAAATAAATGATTACAATAAAAATTATAGTGATCATTTCTATGTAACTCTTCGTATTCAAATATATGCTAAAACTGAAATATTCAGAACTATATTCCGTATAGTTATATCCAATAGTATTCTATAACATACTAATATTCAGAAATATTCCGTGTCTAGTTTTATCTTGGTTTAATCTGGTTATTTGTTGATGGATTTCATTTTAACATTTTTTTGTTTTATGTAAATACTTGTTTTTACTAATTAATAATAATCTCAAAAATTAGAGGTATTAGAAAAAAATCTAATTGCAGATTTGAAATCAGCGCGATAAATTTAAAATACTTTCTCAGTTTTGCTAAAATACATTTTTAATTTTTATGAAAATTTATTGTATACCAGTATATTTATTTATAATTAACAAAAAATTACTTTTTGGAAAGTATTGCATCAAGTCCTTCAATCTTTATACATGTTTGAGATAGATGTATCTCATCTATCTAATAATGTAATATACATTTACCTCATAATTTCTATAATTTCTTTGTAAAAATTACAATATTAAATTGTTAAATATCAATTTCATAGTAAGTATAATTACTAAAATTAGTATTAATTCATATAGTATACTTATAATGAATGAACTACTAATCAGGAATAATTAAGGAAATAGGAGTTGATGTTGCTTTTTGAATAATACATCAATTTTTAAAATCAATGGCTATCGAGAGATTTTCATCGAAGCGTTTCTTATAACAGTGAGTTTACTGTCAGTCGGTCCTAGATTTGTTTCCTCGATGATAATCAAAATATATTGGATTATTTCTAGTCGGTCAGCCATTTGCCGTGTTATGTATTCTTGCGTGAGTTATAGAGTAGCGTATCCACAACCGCTAATGACAGATTTGCCACCTGTTAGTAAGGTACAGCCTTATTCGCTTATGGGATTGGAGTATTCATAGTGTTCGCGCCGTATGCAAACTCGTAGATAGCGCGCGCTTACTTCGTTCTGTCCAATCACCTTCCCCTCATTTCGCGGTTGTTGATCGACATCGGCTGGTTATCACTATCGGTCGACATATGTGTGTAAATGTATTAGAATACAAAAAATTAGGTTAACATTTTGTCTCTTACGAGTTTGTAAAATATTATAGTCACGTTGTAGAGTTCATTGTCGTAAGCTAGTCAGTCATATGATTTATGTGTTATAAATGTGTCTACACTCCGACTCGTGATTCTCAGATGTTCGACACCATTACTACAAGATCTCATACAGCCCACTCATCACTATCAACAACTTTATCTATTCAGCTGAGTATATATTATTTTTAATGTTATTTATTGTTTGTTTTAATTGAGATTAACTATTTTGTTTTATGCCGTTTTGTCGACCATGAGGATTTAAGGCCCACCCCGTAACCCCTTAAATTTAATATACTCTCTAAATACTATCTAATATATGTGGTTAATTGTTATTAATTTATTGTTCACTCTTGTTACTTATTGGATATACCGTTAGCCGTCATATCCTAGGTGACCCACTCCAGCATAAATAATAGCGATTTAAACAGGCTTAAGGTAAAACGACATTCTAGTGCGATGCAGAACTAGCTGTCCCGCGGTCTAGCTGCCTCGTACAAAACATAGGTAAATACCTAAGTTATTAAAAAAAAAAATTATATTGATTTGTTTACTTTTAAATAAGTTATGGCAGTTTTAAGAAAAAAAAATTAAAAGAATGTCAAAATTTAACATTTTATAAATTTGCAATTTTTTTTTGGAGATTTACTGGGAACGAGGGAAATTTTTTCATTTTTTAAAGGCAATTTCTTCGACTAGATACAATTAGTGATATTTTGACATTTATTTCATCAAAATTTGCGAAGCAAGAACTGAGATTGGGTGTTAAAAAATACTTTAAGTAAAACTAAAATCTTCTCAGCTTCGCATCTAAGCTCAAAAGATCAAAAAGTGGGTGCGGGCGGTTTGATCTGAATTAGGTGGAGTCACGAAGATGACTTTCGCGTATATTTGCGGTGAGTCATCGTGCGGTAATTGCTGCACTTTGCACTGTTGCGGAGGCACGCGCTGGTAGTCAGTCAAATTACCATAAACACATAGTAGGGTGACGGCTGAAAAAATGGCACATAACGTGGAACTCCGTGTAACACGAAGCGATGTAGGACCGTGTCGAAGCTAAAAAATAATTATCCAATACCTGAATCAATTATCGTCTGAAGGAACTCTGCACAATTATTTTGTGTGTCTTTATCAAATTTCGATAATTTCACTACAGTTTCAAATGCATCACGAATAGCCTTGTCATCACCACCATTAATAATCAATAACTCTTCTAACAAACTCTTTAAATAATAAGATGCTATGGGACACTCGTCCTGAAAAAATTTCAATTATAAATTAGTTTATGACAATTATTAAAATAATTAATAAATAATTATTAAGTTAACATATAAAAACAGTAGCACAGTTTGAATGTGGCATAATTGGGTTAATTTTAAATAATATCTGACAGTGAATAAAATCACTATCATAAGAAACGCCTCAATTCAAATCTGTAGATAATGTTTAATTATAAGGAATTGATGGATAATTACAAAACATCAACTTCTATTTTCTTAATTATATCCAGATTAGTAATTCTTAAATTCAAAAATATAATATATGAATAAATATTTATTTTAGCAATTAGGTATAATATGAAATTGATATTTTATAATTTAGTAAAGTAATTTTTACGGAGAATTTTTTAAAAATAACTAAGTAGTTATTATTTTTATGTCAAACGTATATAAAAGTTTTTTTTTAACTTCTATGCGAAGCTGAGAAAGTATTAATTTTACTATGATGTGTTTTCTTTTGTATCTGTTACCACTTTTTCTCAGCTCTCATTAAACCGATTTCTTTCAATGATACGTCAAACGATCACAAATCGTATCTAGTCGAAGACATTACCCTCAAAAATTGAAAAAAATTCCCTCGTTCCCTGTAAATGGGGGAAACCTCCAAAAAAATTACAAATTTTAAAATCGCTAATTCCGAAAATTTTTTCAATATTTTTATTTAAAACTGCCATAACTTTTTTAAAAATGAACATATTAATATAATTTTTTTTTATATAGATGCATTACCATTCATTTGGTATATTTTTTTTATAAATTTAACCCTTAACCTGCCCACAAGGGGAGATTTAAAATGACAACTTTTTCACAAAAAATTAACTTTTTAAACTTAACTTTTGTAAATGTTCCGGAAGGTCTGACACTTTTATATATATAACTTAAATTAAAGCTAATGTATTATATGTTTGAACAGAGCGCCCAGTTATAATGTGCGGGTTAGTTCACGTCCGGTTGGGTTGTCTAATTATGCCGGAGAAAGAAATAGGGAGTGGACTGTATATAAGAGGATGGTACTTACACTATATAAAATAATAAGAATTACAAGACAAGGAATTATATATTAAAGTAACAAAATATATATAAACTATCATAGAATTGTGGATTGGGGGGGGTCACTTAATACTAAACTGGCCAACAAGGCATCTCTGAACAAAATAGATAAAATATAATATGATAATTATAAACAAATAAAACTTAACTGTGTAACGTACAATAGATGAAAGATGACTGATGACGGTGATAAATGAACAGTTGGAATACTTTACATTAAAATGTTGAAGACTACAAGGGTAGTCGATACAAACGGAGGCACTTGTTATGTACACGAAGGGCACACAATGGCATAGACTGGTATAGCAATTCTAAACCCACGACGAATCACCAGGGTGGTTAAGCCATTAAAGCGACTATGAGCTTGGTGCACTATAGAACCACGTAGCAAGGGCTAGCAATGGTGGAGAGAACGCAAAATTCACAAAAGGGACCGATAATAGTTCGGCGAGACACAATAATCACGTATTTCAAAAACTGTGAAGCCCTGCTTAGGGTGCGTTTTTCAAATCTATACCAAATTAAAGCTTTTTAAGAGTACTTTATGATGAAAAATAGGTATACTTGAGACAATAAGCTTTCTTTTTTTATGCTTTTTATGTAAATCCATGCATGTAAAATTATTTTTCAACTTCAGTCTCCCTAAATTCAAATTTAATTTCTGATTTACACAAAAATTTCAACTTTATATTTTTAATGATAAAGCAAATTTATTTAAATAGCTTGTAAATAATGATCTAAATAAGAAAATTCCTTTTTTAATAAATTTAGATCTTCAGCTGTTATTACATCTTGAAACATTGAGTGGAGCACAGTAGAGTGATTTTAATGATAAAAATAACATAACCCACACTTCACTCCCACTCTATATTTAAAAATAGTTATAACTTCCGAAATAATTTATTAAATATTGTTATCAACTAATCATTGACTTGTTTCGTCATTTCTATTTTATAATCTAATTAAATATGTTTGTTGCACATTAAAAAACTGTCGGCGAACATAGAGACAGGTAGCCCGGACTGGTTGACAAGCTATCTTACATAAGCTGGAGGGGATCATGGCTACCTTCCGAGCAGAATAGATCATAAGGGTGTCCTGTAATTTCTCAACTGACCAGTCACAAGAACCAAGACGACAAAAGAAGACGTATAGTCTTAGTATAGAAAAATAACTTTTTTCTTTAGTTCTTTAATTTCTTTGTGTAAAAATTAATTTTTTCCAAATAAAGCAAATCATAATTGGTCTTGATTATTTACAACAAGTAAACTTTTTTTTATTTTGTTGCATAAAATATATTTGTCTGCAATAGACGACATTATATATAACACAATAATATTGATTAATTGTCAATACGATTACATTTAGAACAATTCTAAGTAAAAACTATCTGCACGAGTACTTGCGCGCAACTGCGATAGACATAATTCACGTAACCGAAAATAAGTAATTATCTATTGGTGTCATTACCCCGTGGCGTGCCCTAACCGTATCTTAACCTTCATTTTCGTCTTCTAAATGATGCTGTCGGCGCACTACGGAGGTCAATATACGTATAGGGCACTAGTATAAGGTAAGTCCCCTATTGATAAGTATCGTCGGTACTCTGCGGATATCACGACACGTTTAAAGACACTGTTGCAAGGCAAATGATCTGTCGTACTTTTAGTAAGTGTTGTCAGTGCACTGCGGACATTGATGTACTTCTAGGGCACTCGTGTAAGGTGAGTGCCCTACTGTTATGTGCCGCCGGTACTTTGTGCATACCACAACATGTTGAGGGCTATTTGCGCAATATTCACAGATTGAGCTACAAGACGTAACGCAAATAGTATTACTTGTTTAACTAGCCAAGGCTACTCATGCAGTTAGGTTATAACAACATTTGTTACATTTTACACACTGTTTATATTATGGTGTGATAAGAATCCATTCAGGATTTCAACAAAAACAAAAATTTATAACGTATAACGTGTATAAGGAATAAATTAAAAAATATTTAATAATTAAAAAAAATCGAGTAGTATAGGAAGATAAAAATTACCAAAAAGCATTTTTTAACATAATTATTATATTAAACAAATCGAGAGGGTAATAATTAAAAGAATCTCTGGCACGGAGTTTTTATGTGAATTTGAATCATATCCAAATCGATAAAAATTAAATGTCCAAGTATATTATATTATACAAACAGATTATCAATGATTATTTAATTTTTAGAATCATCCCCTAAAAATTTTAGGAGTGATTTTATATTTGGAAACAAACACATTTAATTAGTCAATAAAAACTATTGTACCAGTACTCCAAAAGATATTAGCATTTTTAAACCTTTACGGAAGAATAGCTAAAGCCAAGAAATATCTAATAATAAATATTGACATATACACATTTCACCACCAGTATATAATTTAAAATTGTAATAACTTCTGAAGTACTGGTCCAAAAATTGTTATGGAGCAGTCTTTTTTTTATGTAATAACCCACTGTGCAATTTAAGTTATAAAATGTTGCTATTATGTTGGTTTTTGATTACTAAAAAACAATACCAAGTACCATTAATACAACATCGTATGATTGTTTTGTTGAAATAATGTTTTATTATTATGGTAACATTCTTTACACCGATTAACAGAATGTTAAATTCAGGTAATTCATTGGGTAATTTTGATTTTTTCATGATAGACCAACTAGGTTACAAACTCTTATAAATGCTAAATTAAAAAATTGATTAATAACTTATGTTACACAATAATATTTGTACTTATAGTTAATGTATTATATGTTGTGTTATTATTAAGTTGAGAATTTAAGCTTAAATTTATTAATTTAATGTTTTCTTTTTTTTTAATTGTACGTTTTTTATTATAATTAATAATACTGTATTTTGCTCTTTTGGGCGTTTATCTTTAATAAATAATATATCTTTAATAAATTATTTAAATAACAAAAGTCCTGTGTGTATGAAATATTACAAAAACACATTTATTCAATGTTTTTTCTAACTGTATTTTTCTGTTGTCCCAAATTACAATGACGCATATTGATGATAAAATTATACATAAAGTTTGTGGTTAGCTAGTTAAATACGTATGATACCACTTCAAAAAAATAAGTTGACATTCCTATAGCTTAATAATTACTTTAAAAACAATCAAGTGGAAAATGTTAAAATGAATTATTTTGTATAGGTACTAAAGCTATTATACAATTATTATAAGTATATAAAATATTAATAATAATTATAAATATTTGTTTTACCTCATTGTTATTGACTTCACTAGGATTACTCTACAAAACATTTATGTTGTTTTTATTACAATTATTATCTTAAATTGCAAAATATTTTAGATATTAAAAAAATAATAATCGTGTAAAATAATAATGTTTATAAATACTTATTATACCTCATTATTAGAAGTTGAACCACCTGAGCTTGGCATTCCTGTTGAAAACTTCGGTATGATAATTAAATTAATAAAACCAAGTAAAATTCCAAAACAAAAGTAGAAACGCATTTTTAATTACGATTATAACGGCAAAAAGTCAAATTTAATTAACATTTAAAAATATGCTGTACATTTATAATAACTGTTAATAGATTATTACAGGGAAATTTTATTCATTTTAATTTTATTTATTTTAAACATGCCAACTGTTTTAAAAAAATCACTGACATATATTTAATATTTAAGTAACTGTATAATTTATCATAAATTAAATATGTTTCAAATGTTTTTCGTTATTTTTTATATTAGTTGGTATTTACAATTTATCATAATAGTAAAAGATTATAGAATACAATGCTATTATTAAGACTAAAACAAATGATAATAAATCAATATGTTCATCGTCTATTTTAATATTATATTTTTCAAAATTTTAATGAATAATTCAACTTAAGTATTGATAGAAAAAAATTAATTTCTATTTTTGAAAAAAATGTACGATAATGAAAGAGATGTGTCATTGTGTTAAACATAAATAATTATTACAATTTTAAACTAAGATTTAAAATGATTAATAATATATATTTTTAAATTTTCAGATAATAATTTATAATTTTATCAAGCATATGATTTTTCATTAAAATCTTTTAGCTTCGATGCGAAGTGGAGAAGGTATTAATTTTACTATGATGTGTTTTTTTTTATTTTTTTTTTTTATGCCCGTTGCCACTTTTTCTCAGCTCTCACTGGATCGATTTCTTTCAAAAATACGTCAAAAGATCACAAATCGTATTTAGTTGAAGACATTGNTTTAACAATACGTCAAAAGATCACAAATTGTATCTAGTTGAAGACATTACCCTTAAAAATTTAAAAATTTTCCCTCGTTCCCCGCAAATGGGGGAAATATCCAAAAAATTACAAATTTAAAAATCGCTAATTTTCGAAATTTTTTCAATTTTTTTTACTAAAAACTGCCGTAACTTTTTGAAAAATCAACAAATCAACATAATTTTTTTTTATACTAAAACCTTAGATATCTACCTTTCATTTGACATCAGTTTTTTGAAAATCTATCACTTAACCTGTTCATTGGAGGGTATTTAAAATGGCAACTGTTTTACAAAAAATAACTTTTTCAACTTATTTTTTGAAAATGTACCGGAAATACTGCGTCCTTTAAACATATATAAAATTAAAGCTTATTTTATGTACTATAAAATGAAAAAAAAAAATTTGTCCTGACACTTTTTCTTCTACATTTAAACAGCTGCCGTAGTTAAAAAAACACTATTTTTGTGTTAAAATTTTCGATTTTAAATTTTCAACTTAAAAATGCTATAACTTTTTGAAAAATGTATATATCAGCACAAATTTTTTTTTTCTAAATACATTATAAGTACATCTTTCATTTGACATACTTTTTATTAAAATTGGACAATTTCCCCTTATATTCCAAAACTTGAAATATTGTAAAAAACATAGATCTTTTTCAACTTAATTTTTGAAAATGTTCCGGAAATACTGAGTCCTTTAAACAAATATCAAATTAAAGCTTATTTTATGTTATATAAAGTGAAAAAAAATTTGTCCCGACGACCTATCTTCTATGCGCAAATGGCTACCATATTCAAAAATATGCTATTTTAACAATTTTTTTTTTTAATTAAACACTATCTACAGATTTGCATCGAAGCGTTTTTTATTATAGTTATTTTAATCACTGTCAGATATCATTTATACTAAACCCAACTATGCCACGACCCCACTGTACCGCCACCTCACTGTGCTAAGTTTTTTTTTTTTTTTTAATTTTTATTTTAAATGGGGTAGCAGTATAAATTGACACTTGAGACATGATGAATTATTGGATTTAAAAATATATAGTAGTGTTTGCGAATTTTTTTGGAAATATTTTTGAATGAATTAACCAAACGTTGACAAATTTCTTAAAAATAATTCAGATTAATGTACACAATTATTTAAAAACGCATATTTATATTGTAAGCATTTCAAATAATACTTATATTAATCAAATTTAATTGACATATTATAAATGTTAAACGTTATAATTATTATTCATAGATTATTGCAAATTAATTACTTTTGTTGATTCTCAAATGAAATATATAATTTGACACGATTTGCGTCGCAAAAATGTGGTCGACACTGGTTTTGAGGGTAGAGACCCGTGGGCTGTTTATTAAATGAGCGACAACAGGTTACTTAAACAAAAAAATAAAACAAACCGAATAGATGAACATAATAATAATAATAAAATAATCTTCGCATAATATCGCGGCACTTTCGCTGGCGTCGACGACGCGATGTCCGGCGTGATCCTTGGGCGACAAAAGGTTAGCAGCGTTGTAGGCGATGATGAGCGGGTGCGGATCGGTTGATCGACGTTGTCGTTTTCACAACGGGAAGAAGATTCCCGTATCATTTGCGGCGGGTCGTCGTCGGTCGTGCGGTATTTGCTGGACTTAGCACCGTAGCGTATGGCACGCGGTGTTGGTCAGTCAAATACTCATAGTAGGGCGACGGCTGATAAAGGTGGCACTAGTCGTGGGGCATCGTGTATAACGAAGCGACGCGGGTTGTGTCAAATTGTAGAAAAATATCAATTGTTGCGATTTTTTTATGAAATTATTTTTGAATATATTAACAAAATAATTACAAATATCACGGAAATAATGTTAATGATCCCTTACGATTTTTTCTAATCACACTTATCCTTTTTGTATAATATAAAGTTGTTGTTTTATACATTATAAGTTTATAAATTCCAATAATGTTCACTATTTGGACCGTGTTTAATAACTGGACTAGTTATTTTAGTAAAAATATTACATTTGAATAAATAATCCAAATTATAAATTAATATACTTTTTCCTTTTCTTATTTTTACTATTTTTACGATTATTTCTAAGCAAAGGTTTAATTTTAAATAAATATTAGGCATTTTTGATCAATTCTCATATCATTAATGGACATAAATAAAATATTAAATAGTCTTAAAATATAAAATGAAACATATGTACAACATTTTCCAATATTTTAAAATAATTACACATTTAGTTAGCTATAATGTTTTGTCGTAAATCAAAAAATCTTCTTGTATATTTTACTAATATACTTCAAGAAGTTGAATATAACATTCAAATAGATTACATTCATACAAATCTATCAATGCATATGGTTCGGTTAACTACAATATATTAACAAACAAGTTTACAAAATTTTGGTATACGTGATTATTAACTATTTTTGATTAGGTAATTTTCGATAGGTAGGAAGAAACAAGTGCTAATTCCAATAGTCTTTCGTCTCTCATTAATACTTGTGGTAATCCAATGGAAAGAAGTATATATAATGTATTTAGAAAAAAAAATTTGTGTTGATACATTTTTCGAAAAGTTATAGCAATTTAAAGTTGAAAATTTAAAATCGAAATTTTTTTAGTATTTTAGCATTTTTTAACTACGGCAAGCGTTTTCATGTATAAGATAAGATTCGGGACAGTTTTTTTTTTTTCATTTTATAGTACATGAAATAAATTTTTATTTAATATATGTTTAAAGAAAGCAGTATTTCCTGAACATTTTCAAAAATTAAGTGGAAAAAGTTAGTTTTTGTAAAAAAAGTTGCTATTTTAAATTCCCCCCAAAGAGCAGGTATAAGGTTTCAGTCAAACCAGAGGGCCTACTAATTACCCACTGCCCAGGGGGAACACTGGACAGTGACCTAGTAGCTGCGCCAATCAAGATAATACTTGTTGACGGAACTACTAGGTTTTGACAAAAAAAAACAAATATTAATAAAAATGAGGAAAAAAAAACATGCCATGTATAATATAATAACATTTTTCTTTTAATTATTGAAGATTTCTAATATATATATAATGGGGTTATTATCTTTAACAATAATATTATCTAATAATAATAATAACATGTTTTTGTGTTATCACACTTTACACTTTCTTATCATCTTATATAGATAGAAAATACTTTCTCTACATATATATGTAAAGAAAGTATTGATTTGAATGTATTGATAAATATAATATAACAGAACACTCAGTAACAGGTTTTACCCCAAAGTACCTACTAGATGGGACTAATACAAATATGCTACCCGAAGAACTTAAAGAACATAAAAATGCAGAAGATTGGAAGAAAGATAGAAAAATAGCTTTAGATAACACTATAAAATCACATGAATATAACAAAAAACTATTTAATAAAAACAGAAAAGAAAATGAATTCAATACAGGCGATTTTGTATACATTGAAAATGGAAATAAATTAAACAGGAAAAAATTGGATGAACTCAGGATTGGACCTTTCAAAATAATAGAGAAAATATCAAATACCATATTTAAAATTAAAACAGGAAAAAGGAATGAAGAAATAGGACTATTCCACATTACAAAATTATTACCAAAATAATCAAGAGCTAATAAAAATTCTCATAAGAATTTTCACAGTGGGAGGGGGATATGTAAAGAAAGTATTTTCTATCTATATAAGATGATAAGAAAGTGTAAAGTGTGATAACACAAAAACATGTTAATTAAAACAAATCATTGTTAAAAATTATTAATTATGCAAACTACTTTCTTTGTAAATTTTAAATAATACTAAAGATTATAATAATAAACTTAATCTGTTGTTTCTTTGTTTTACAGGTAATGTAGTAATACTAATTTAAATAAAATTTGTTATTAATAAATAACCTTGTTTTACAGAGAAACCAGTTGTTATTATTATTATTAGAAAATATTACTGTTAAAGATAATAACCCCATTATATATATATATATATATATATATATATATATTCATAAAGGAAAAATAAAAAAGGAAGAAAAAGAGCGGTGCTAGATACACAAAATTAAAAAGGATGTTTCAGGAGTGACGGTCCACCACCGGCCATAGTTGTGTCTCACATCATCATCATCATCTCGACGTTTATTTTAACAAAAAAAATTCACAGCCTGATTGACACCAAAGTAGACGGCAGGTCGACTCGACGTTTATTTTATCAAAAAAAACGAAGGACAAAAAAAAATAAATGTAAAAATAAACGTGGTTTTTACAATAAAAAATGATATAGAAAACACGACTTGTCGCCTTGGTCGTTTGGTTGAGAAAAAAAAAATCTGTTGTAGCGGCATTTGTGTAGTGGTCGGTGATCGTGATGCCGGGTGGTGGTGGTACCAACTTTGACACGTCCATTGGGGGGAAATACAACAATATGGGTATAGGTGCATAGTGTACGGTCAGCTGATGACGATAGGATGACAGATATCGGAACGGTTGACAAGTGGAGGTTATCATATACAAAATTATTAAAATACTTTACACCAACTGCACATACATCTAATTGATAAGATTTATATATTAAAAAAAAACTTGTATAAATTCTGCAACATTACAGAACCCCCCAAATAGATTAAACTATTGAAAATAGGGTGATCTATTTCAAAGGAATGGTGAAAGAATTTGTACAATACTTTAGGGAAAAAGAGTATATAAGAATCTTTTGTTAAGACGTGAAGAAAAACAAGCATGTTATAATATATCATAATTTCAATTAGAGAAAATTAATAAAACAGTTTATAAAAAAAAAACAATGGGGAAATGGTGTCTTGAGGGTCTCAAATTCGCGAAACGCATGGGTTATGGGTAGTTGGCATGTCACCGCCCAGACGTTGTTTCGGCAAAGCAGCGTACTACAACCCCTGGGACGTTACCATGCCACCATAACCACACACGGGGAAATGAGTCTCAAGAATGGGGGGTAATTAATATCCAATAAGATGAAACAAAAATGTGCATCAACACATTAAGCAATATGTTTTAACAAAAGAAAAATCATTATAACATTATGAAGACTCATATGGAATTTTAGAAAGAGAAGGAATATACTTTTTTAGATGGACTATGTTATGGGTTCCTCTAGGGACATTTTCAAATGGATCAATAAGAGAATAAGCATTGTAGGACTTAGTAGAGGAAATTTTATAAGGACCTTCATATAAAAGGAAAAATTTGGAAATCTTTTTGTCAAGAGCATTACTTAATTTATTTGTACGAACAAGAACGAGCTCATTAATTTTGAAAGGATGGGGTTTAATTTTTTATCATGTTTAAGTTTACGGGATTGAGCTTTAGTTAATTGGCNTTGCGGGACTGAGCTTTAGTTAATTGGACTTCATTAGCTAAGATTAATTTTTTGTGGTATTGTTCAGAGACATCATTAGGAGGATATTCAATATGTGGAGAAGCAGGATTAGGAATGTCATTATTGAGGAAAAGTTCTGAGGGGGAATGAAAGGTTGATTCATGACGAACATTATTCAATACCCATTCTATGTAGGGAACATACTGAGGCCAGGTGTTATGTCGCTCATTGCAGTAGGTTCTAAAAAGACACCCAAGCTCACGCATGACACGTTCAGCAGGGTTTGATTGTGGATGGTAGACACTAGTATGCCCGACTTGAATTTTATACTTTTTTAGAGTTT